AAAGCCTGCCGTTAAGGATTCAAGTCCCTTACCTGCGGACCCAATCCTAGATCTACTGGTATAATTTGCTTCACGCTATATGGACGAATCCAAAAATTTCATCCATCCATTCGTGGTGATGCCGATATCTCATCTTGCTAATATCCCTTGGCGTAATAGTATCCAGCATGTCTCCTATGGAGACCTCCTCCTCTTCTAAAGAATAATCCCCTGCAGCAGCGCTGGCCAAAGTTGCGGCGGTCGCACTGGCGCGGTTCGATCTTGAGGGTTTGCTTTGAGGCCCTGGTAAGTTCTGACCTTGTTGTTGCTGGTAAAATGGGCCAGATTGCTGCCGGCCTAGCATAGGGTTTGCGTACGGAGCACCGTGTGGCATAAAGTTTTGTTGTCCTACTTGCGGGGGAAGGTTGATAGTAGGCCAACTGTTTCGGTCATGAAGCATGAACTCCTTGCGCACAAGCTGTCCCTGGCTTTGAAGGAAACGTCGTTGGGCAAGGATATTCTGCATCTGGGGGGTGACAAGAATGCGATTAGCGGGTATTTGATCCCCGGCGGGCGTTCTAGAGTAGTGAATTATCCATAAAGATGGGTCACAGGGAAGAACGTTCGCATTCGGGTTTTTGGTTGGCGTAAGGCGGTACCGCTTTCGGCAATGTGTAGCAATCTGTTCGTTGGGAGGATGGTATCCACAGCGCTGAAGATATAACTCCAAATTCTGTATGAAAAGAAATGCATTAGAAGAAACCATCGAGACATAGGAGTGTTAAATTTGCATAAACTTACATAGCCTCTTATTTCTGTGCTGTAGAGCTGCTCAGCGTCAGCCCACACATAACCATCGCTAGCGAAATTAGTTCCCAAATGATTCAGCGGCTGCCAAACGAGTATCACGGTTCCATCAGGCGGGCCATCAAGGAACATCCAATGCATGGTCTGTAGCTCTCGTACAACTTTGGGGGCAGAGATGAGGTATTCAACGGCGGTTTCGTGGGAGAGGTTGTTCATCAAGGGGTACCGATAACTCGAAACGAGGTGCATATGAGGTAACTAGGACCAAAATGTCAGTTTCACGGTATCTCAGAGTGACCATATCTCCAATCAGATACAAGATTATCCTACCAGTTGTTGAGGCACACCTCCCGCAGGATCGGCCATCCTTGCGACTGCACCCTGCCTGCTCATTCCAGGCGGCTGTGACAACCTCACAAAATAAATTGGATACTAGCCGCCCTGTGGTAAAATGATGTTAATTCGAGAAATCCTTTATCACCGACCTGGGAATAGTGGGATGATGATGCTGGACGCGGCCAACGCGATATTTTATGCGATAATGGAACTTGGAGTAGTTGCTCCGTGCCAAGACCGCACCAGCCCATAAAGGCTAGACTAGGAGTCATATGACTCCGCTTGGCATTCAATGTCCTTCAACCTTTCAATATTTTATTTATATCTTGGCATATATAATAGTATCACGATCTCTACGTTTTTCAATGGATCGGTGCAAAACCTGCAAACCTGCAAATCTGTGGCATCTCCAGCCATTGCTTCCGTTTCTATGCAGCCTAGGACTACTAGTTGAAGCAAATCAATGGGAAGAAGCTGCTCACAGCCAGTTCACATTGCCCAGATGAACTGACACGAAAGTAGCTCGTATGAGCGAATATGTTCTGTCTGTTCCTGCGGTATATTTATATTTCTATCCAATGACATGGATATGAGCAGGGCAACGTGAGACTACAATTGAGCAGTATTTTGGGTGTACGATCACAGACATTCAGCGATTTTGCCCAAGATCTACAGATACTAGTATTAGTCTATGGAAGCATTTAAACTTCAAGGCATGAAAGCGAATTGATCTTAAAAAGCCTGCTAATTTGGGAATACTCCTTTTCGTCTCGTACTGTTCTGTGAAGTTGAAGCTTTACCTTGACAGCGCATGGATGGCCAGATCCAACGGGGGTAGCTTGGGCTCCAAGCGACATACCAGTAGTTCAAAGCCATAATACAGTAAGCCTTTTCAAAAATCAGTGGAGCATTTTTCTTCAAGGTGGGGGCCGCGTGGGGTGGCACAAAATTTTATGATGACCGTCTCTTGCATTGACTCCAAAAACTGGGGAATGTATTTTGTGATATCAATATTAGCCGCAGGGCTCGTTGTGGCTTAACCGGGGGGCTGATTGGCCAGATGCTTAGTTAGTTATCGCTGCTGGAGCTCACCACGGGGGCCAAGTGGGAGATCCACGAATTATATGCGAGAAACAACCATCTATTTTTCAGCTTTAATTGCTGTAAAAAAAAGGACGGGTCAGTCAGCTTGTCAATCCAGCGCCTTCTTGAGCAGCGGCAAATCCAACCTCGCGGCGCACGGACACACAGGTTGACATGAAATCCATGGAAAGTCCCAAACTCACCGTCGACATCAGTCGACGAACTCATTCTGCTACATGTAAGTGGCGTCCCCATCCACTTACTGCATATAGGTAAGACACCACGAAGAAGCATCACGGACTGGTCCCACGGTGGGATGAATTGGCAGCAGATATGCAAGTCCTATCAAAGGAAGCGAACAACTATTACCATGGCGTGGTGGATATGGGGAGGTAGTGTATTCGTCCTCTCTTTGTTCTTTTTCCGGCACCAAGATAGAACCTAGAAATGTAAATTACTGTATTTGCAACATCCAACAGCTAATTTGTGATTAAAGCAATGGCATTCGCTTCTCAATATCGGACCTTACCCCACCAACGGCCAGAATACTGCCCACACTCTTCCAGGATCGTGCGTCCATATCCTTATACGACGCCCAGCATGAGAATGGAAGCATTCAAAGACGCCCAATCTCGAAAAAAGTACAAATGGATGTTGTAGCATCTCTTCTGCGATTCAAGCAAACATGCATTGACTTTGGAGTCCCGCAATCGAACATTCATATAATAGCTACGGAGGCCACTCGGACTGCGCCAAATTCAGAGGAGTTTAGAGATTCAGTGACAAAGGCCACGGGCTGGACAATCCAAATGCTTTCACCAGAAGAGGAAGGTAGGGTCGGATCTCTCGGTATAGCAAGCAGTCTTGGGGTAGTAGAGGGTCTCGTAATGGATCTGGGAGGGGGAAGTGTTCAGATTACATGGGTGTCACGAAAAGCGGAAGCGAAGCGTGGCTTCAGTTTTCCATACGGTGCAGCAGCATTGATGCAGAAGTTAGAAGAGGCTAAGAAAATCGGAAACGAGGCATTGGAGAAGTTGGCGGAGGAAATAACATCTAATTTTCGGCAGGCATACAACAACCTCGACATTCCAGAAGATATGAAGGAAGATGCAAAGAAAAACGGTGGCTTTGATCTCTACCTTAGCGGAGGCGGGTTTAGGGGCTGGGGCTACATGCTCATGAGCCAGTCAGAAATATCCCCATACCCAATCCAGATCATCAACGGCTTCAAGGTTTCTTTCTCGTCGTTCAAACAGACTGCCCCAACGGAGATTCTGGCGGCTACGGAAGAGGTAGTGAAGATATTCCGCGTGTCAGACCGACGAAGAGCACAAGCCCCTGCAGTCGCGTTCCTCATCCATGCACTCACCCTCGCCCTCCCGAAAATCAAAGATGTCCGGTTCTGCCAAGGGGGGGTGCGGGAGGGCTTCCTGTTCGGCAAGCTGCCCATGGAAACCCGCCTTCAGGATCCCTTGGTCACGGCGACGTTGCCATATAAAACAGGATCCGCGTCGCAGATCGGCGAACTTATTTTCCGCGCCCTACCAAAGTCCTCAACAATCTCAGTGTTAAAGGAATTCACCCCTCCGGCCCTTTTTAACTCCCAATTCATCTCCGCTGTTGCAAACATCATGCACACGCAATCATCCGCGACCAAAGAAACTCGCTCCTCCGCCGCCCTCCACTCCACCGCAACTGGCCTCCTCTGTTATACGCACGGCTTATCCCACGAGCGTCGCGCCGCCCTCGCGCTTGTCCTCTATGACAGCTGTGCCGGCGACCTCCCCTCTCAACACGAATCATTCCTCGCTCGTCTACGCCTCATCCTCTCTATTGAAGAGGCGTGGTGGTGTCGGTATATTGGACGCGTGACGGCGTTTGTCGGCGGTATCTATCCAGCCGGTTTAATTCCCCCTCAGGGCCCGCGGATTGATCTTGAAGTGCGCTGCGTGGATACTGGGCTTGGTAAGAAAGGAAAACTTCCTGGGATTGAGTTGACCATTAAAATTCCTCAGAGGGGCGGTGGGCCCGGGAGTAGTAATGGGGTTACTGAGGGTGCATTTACGGATGAGAACTTTTTAGCCGCGGGGGTCAGGCGGATTGAGAAGATTGGAAAAAGGAAGCACTGGCTTGAGAGGGGAAAGGGGCAGGAGCGCTTTGGTATTAAAGTTGGGGTGAAGATTGTGGAGGGCTTGTGAAATATGCGGACGTAATTTGCTTGTTATGTATGGTAGGTGTTTTTTACCGACGGATTTTCTACGGTAAGGATTATTTCTCGACCTATTTAACGTTTTTTATATTTTAATGTTTAATTTTATCATAGAATTCCCAGGACCTACAAGCAAGGGCTTTTCGGTTGGTCTCGGGCAGGGCTATTTTACAAAGAGTATGCTAAGTCAGGGGGCTTGGCCGTCTGGCCGCAGCGATTTTTGTATCAAAGTACCCAATTGACTTCCGAAAGGGAGAATGTAATGTTTAAAATTGGAATGCGCACGTCTTCTTTGCTTGGAAAGCTATCTCCAACATAGCATGTAACGAATGAACTTTTGCCATAGTACCGTAAATCCGTAAATATATCAGAGAAAGTTAGGGAGACAGGGGATGGAAATCCTTCCCAGTCCACAAATTGTCCATATGGTTGCTTGTCATGGTTTCGGAAGGTAAAGGGGGTCATTTGATAGGAAGCAACGCCAACAAGAAAAGTAGAATCGAGTGAAAATGAAAGTAAATTCGAAAAGTCTTGCAGCCATTCAAGTTTCAAGCCAAAAAGCTATACAACAATGGAGAGCATAACAACAAAATGAAGAATCAGAAAAATTAAATGAAACAAGCAACAGCAGGCGAAGAGATGTTTAGCAGCACGGAATTAGCAGCAGACCGCAAGCTAATAGGAAAACTAAAAGAATAAAACAAAGATGGCTTTTACATCTTCATAAGCTGGATATCATTCATTCATTGGATCACTGGTCATGTTTTTCTCTTCAGGGTCCGTGTCGAGATTCTCTACATAGGGATTGACTTCCATTTAAACGGCCAGTTTGGCCTTTGGATCAATTTCAATTTCAAATTGGGGTGCATCGCCACTTACTTTCCCTTTGTCATAATATACCTCCTCACCAGCTGGTATCTCAATGTGGGACCTGTTTTCCGGATGTTCAGCATGGTGTGGACACTGGGCAGCCTAGTTTCATACCCGTCATCCTCAGTTTTCATTTAGGACGCCGTTCCACTATTTAGTTATGGAGTCTACGCCGTCGACCTCAGTTACAGCAAGATCACGCTCAATGATTCTCCCTTAAGTTAGGTCATCATCTAGATCCAACAACCCGACGTGGGCAACCAAACGATCTGCCTCTTCCTCGTCACCATTCTGGCCATCATATTGGATGTCGGCCTCTAAAGTTTCGTCGTACGATGGGGGCCTGCTAGGGACAGAAGCGGGACTATCATGCTCGGCTCCTCTATCCACATCCCCAGTTTCCAACCTATGCCACCTGTCCATGCATGTAGGGCAGATGCCTCTCCCCTCGCTGATGAGGACGGAAGGTTTATTTGATTGGATATCCAAGGGATCTTTCTCAATATCCGTTCGAGTCTCATCACCCTCATGGCCGCACTCCCACTTATTCTTGGATATATAGAACACTTTCCCGTCGATGATGGTTTCGTTTTTCAGAGCTGAGTTGGTGTTTGGATCTAGACAGCTGGGACACAAACCTCGACATTCATTTACAAGAGTAACAGGCGCCTCACCTTCCCCATCAACTGCTGTCTCTTTTTCAATGTCTGTTGGCATCTCAGGGCCCTCGTGGTTGCATTCCCATTTATTTTTGGATACGAAGAACGTCTTTGGCCTATCGGTCACGGCAGGAGCCATGAGTTCAGGGTTTTTGGCCAGAATCGATTCATAGTCTTCTCATTCAGGTTCTGGTGCAGCTGATCGCAGAGATGGGTCTGCCGCAAGGGCTGCATTGTATTCTGGTAGGACATCATCTACCACGTCTTCGACGACAGCAGTTTCTACAGGTGGGGATTTATCGCACGAAAATCTTGCATCCGGTTCGTGGGTTCCTGGAGTTGGTGGAATTTGTCCTGCAGACGTACTGCGAATAGTGGGAGGCATAGTAGGTCGGCATTCAGCCATCTTAGGCTCCATTGTATTCAGGAGGGGGATATCAGGAGGCTCTGATGGATGGCGGTATGTATATAATTTGAGAACAAGTCAACCTTGGGATATTGTTGCAATAGCCAATGGGTTATCAAGAAGGAATAGTTTTCCAAAATGGTACACGCGAAGAAGTTGCAAAAGAAGAGAACAAGAGAATTTGCAAAGAATGAAACACCTTGCTGGTCGCTGGTATTTATACGGCCAAATTCATACCCACGACGGGTGACAGGAAGCAAGGATACAAATATGAAATTATTCATATTTGTCAAGCCCCAAATGACACTGGCATGATTGTTGTTCCCAGCCGGAGTTTTGTCCACAAATATCGCCATATTCGCAATTGCACTGTGCATATTATTGATAGTACTTTGAAGCTCACCTCACATGTACATGCCTCTCTCCCCAGAGAGCGTTGAAGGAAGGAATATAATATATCTCTGACGTCGGTGGATAATTTTCCTTTGCAGGGCTGACTAAGCCTTGACCCCTCCTTCGCCAGGGTATAAAACCGCCAACTTCGCCAGCAAATCCCGCATTCCCACCGAACTTCTTCCAACACCATTTGCTCCCTCAAGTTCCGACGATTGAGCATTGCAGTCCCTAACCTGCCCACTTAGCCTATTCGAAGCTGAGTCGTATTTATCCTATTGACTTGGTCAGATCCCCCACAGCGTGACATTATCCCACCATCCCACCATGGGCCATCTTTGCTAATATGTGTTAGTTGTCAACACCCAGACCGAGTTCACCTGGTACATCTCTCACACAAGATGGAAGCCATGAATTTCTTTCAGCTGCGGACAATGTCCAACAATGATCAAGGTATCTCAATGGAGTAACTCATATGCATGAACCGGTGTTCGATCTCTTATTCCATCCCGCACCTAGCCGCATCCACCTCTTCTGCCCCACATTTAATGCAAAAGAGAGATATTGCTATTTTGCGGGAAGGCTCTGAGGCATCGTTCTGAAATTATACGGTCATAACTTGATCTGGATAATACCAGCGAAAGGATCATGCTTTCTCTCCCCAGATCCCCTCTACGTCAGCCCAACTATACTCCTAACACATTGCATATAGTATCTGAAAATGTCTCCTCCATCAGCAACATACGACGTAGTAGCTGCAGCAGCTACTTCTGTTGCAAAAACTAACAAACCCTCCACTGCCCATGGGAGTCTTACTAGTACCAGCACCATTTTGGATGAATTTGCTGGGAAATGGGACGACTTCAGCTTCGGCCATATCCGCGAGAGCCAGGTCTCCCGCGCCATGACGCGTCGCTATTTCGAGGATCTGGATACCTATGCTGAGAGCGACATCGTGATTGTCGGCGCTGGATCCTGCGGTCTCAGCACTGCGTACGTCCTGGGCAAAGCTCGCCCGGATTTGAAAATTGCCGTTATTGAGGCCTCCGTCTCTCCTGGTACGTACACCCTACATACACCCTCTAAATCAAGAGCAAGGATTTCAGCTATATTAGGCGCAATTCCCTACTAACACGATTTTCAGGCGGTGGTGCGTGGCTCGGCGGCCAGCTGTTCTCCGCCATGGTCCTCCGCAAGCCTGCGGACCGTTTTCTCGATGATCTGGGGGTTCCGTACGAAGAGGAACCCTCCAACCCCAACATGGTCGTGATCAAGCACGCGGCACTCTTTACTTCCACTTTGCTCTCCAAAGTACTCTCCTTCCCAAACATCAAGCTTTTCAATGCTACTTGCGTTGAGGATTTGATCACCCGTCCATCCCCGGCTGCAGGCGACCGCGAGGGTATTCGCATCGCCGGTGTCGTGACCAACTGGACGCTCGTGACTCTTCACCACGATGACCACTCCTGCATGGACCCAAACACCATCAATGCACCCCTGGTCATCAGTACCACCGGTCACGATGGTCCGTTTGGTGCTTTCTGCGCCAAGCGTCTCGTGTCCATGGCTGCCATTGAGAAACTGGGCGGTATGCGTGGACTGGACATGAACTCGGCTGAGGAGGCCATTGTGAAGAATACTCGGGAGGTGACTAAGGGGTTGATTATTGGAGGCATGGAGTTGAGTGAAATTGACGGGTGGCACCGGATGGGGCCTATCTTTTCAGCCATGATGCTTAGTGGCGTGCGTGCAGCGGAGGTCGCTTTGGAAGTTTTCGAAGAACGAAAGAGAGAGTGCGCTGATAAAAAATGAATGCCAATTTCCGATCCCGCAGTCCCGGAAATGTTGGCGGGAAAGAATGTGGAAATAGTACATGTGCCAAACACGCGTGTTGTTCTGGGAGGCTAAAATTGTAATTAATTTCTTTTCTGGTTATTCATGGGCTGCCAGTCTGCCGTTGCCTTCTGCTGTTATTATATTGGTTCCTTCCATCGGGAGGCGATACTAATGTACTTGCGCACATGGGAATTTGCAGTCAAAGCTTGCTACATCACCCATTGAACATATGAATGCAAAATTATGTAAACGCAAGATAGTGTCCAGTTTCGGAATGGCCACCAACTGTCAATTATCTCAATAAAGTTGACCTCATTCAATGTTCGAATCTAGATTAGGCATGTAATGGAACTCATCACTGAAAAGCATTATATAAACCCTAAAATTACTTGGGAATGAATGAGGCCTTGTGGTTATACTATACATTCAGTAAATTTAATCAAGAATTACACAATAGTACTTATACATTTGAAATGCATCGCACGCGACAAAACACAAAACATCAACCCTCCCCACGAGACTCCAAAAACCGCCCCAAAAAATCTCATCACAAAATCATCTGTCGGTAGAAAAATATTAAAAGGACTGTTGCAAAACAGGAAGAAAGAAAGAAAAGAAGGAAAAAGGAGAACCTCCGCCCAAAGCCCTCAAGGAAACCAACCTCTCTGCGTAGGATTCGGTGACCTTTGCTCCTCTTCAATATCCAAACCTAAACCCAACACTATCCTCCTTGCATTCCGAATCTCCCACTCAAACTCATTAAGTGCCCGCAGCTCACTGCTCACAAATAAGCAGCTAATCAATAAATTAACGAAACCACAAAGCAGGAAAAGGGAACCAAGAATCAGGAGAATGAACGCGATAAACGCTCGAGAAACAAACCATACACCAATCATACAGCCAATGAAGACGAGAAAGGAGAAGAAAAAGAAGAAAAAGCGTAGACGGCGGTGGAATCGCTCTCGAGCGCAGTAGTCGGATATCACATAAAGGATCTGGTCGTAGGTATCTGCCGTGAGCGTTGCTTGCTGTTGCTGGCGTGCTACAGCTGCGTTCGCTTGCGACGGCGGGCTCGAGTTTTCAGCGTTTTCAGCAGTAATAAGGTCGGCTTCGCCTGCAGGGGATCTGGAGAGACTGGATTCGACATGTTTTTGAATGGGGAGGAAGGAAGACGGGCCTTCATCGCCGTCGTCGGCCTCCTTGGCTATATCCAGTTTGATTGTGGCTTCGACGCCGAAATGGTCACTTAATGAGCAGTGGAGGTGTGGGTGCCGTTCCAGCATGCATACCCGGGCAGACTCAATGTCCCATTTCCTCAGCGGGGGAGGGTTGCTGAATGAGCCGTCTCCGACGAATATGTAGTCTAGGCGTTTCGCGAGAGGATCAGGGCGTTGGCCATCAACCGGCATGGGACCTTCGCGCTTGAGGCGTTTCTGCTGCGATTTGCTCCAGCGCCACGTATTCAGGATGCTATCGCATGTAGCCCCATTTTCGGAAATGTTGAAATCAGCGGATGGGACTGGTTTCTTCCTGTTCATTTCGGCGGAGTCTATCGCCGCGCCGATCGATGAGTCTGGGTGGAGATAGCCCCAAACGTCCTTGACTGGTGCATGTGAAGTAATGAGTCGATGCGCAAAAGATTGTGGAAGCATGTTAAAATCTCCAAGGCCAACGACCAAGTGCCCCTTTTCAGCAGCGGCTTTCATTAATTTGGCAATCTCCCAGGCTTGCGCAGTTCTGTGGCAGATATATGAATCACGCGGCTCCCTTTCATAGGGGGCATGGAGATGTGTACAGAAGACATCCACAATATCAGCAGCCGCAGGTCCAATACGGATCCTCGCACATGCGACCCCCTTTCCAACATACCAATCACCCCTGAAGATTGCACTTGGACGACCATTCAACGGATATGTGTGCATGGTACTTTCTTCGATAGGCCATTTTGAGAGAATAGCTAAACCACCGCCAAATATCCCACTAAAATAAAACTTGCCGTATGGGAGGATCTCCCGAGTCTCTCTCCGGATATTGTGGTAGTCCTCCCGACTCCAGCATTCTTGTAGACCGACAATATGTGGGGTGTTTTCGGAGAGCGCTATACGCTTCCCAATTTCAATGAGGCGCTCGCGGCGGTATTCAGAAATATATTTCAGACCCCAGCAGTTGAGGGTGAGTATGTTGATCTTCGCTGGAAGCTCATCGCTGTTATGGGGGTGCATGGTGGAAGCTGCACCGTCAAATTCCAGAAGAGACAAGATGTGACAAATACGGAGGCAGCGCAGGCGGAAATGTCTAAGCTGGAATCAAAAACAAAGTCAAGTCAAGACGACCTGTCGAGTTATTATGAATGGTGTTGCCATCGAAGGCGACGACGACGATGTGGTGGCACCGAGATATGCGCCACCGCCTCTTTCTATTCTTATTCTGCCAATCAACGCGTCTGCCAGAAGCGCGACCCGCCAATCGTGCAATTACGGCTTCCAGACAGGCCCGGAGCAGGTTCGCAAATAAGCTGCTGCATGTTTCTGCCATTCGAAGGGGTTTGCTGTGTTTGATATCGGCGATTCCTTTCATAATGGCAGAAGAAAACCACCCCTCGAAAAAACGGCGTTTGGAGAACGGTTACACGGCGACACCGGAAACCTCCTCTGACGAGCTTGCAGCAAACTCGGATGTCGAGCGGAGAGGAGAAAGTTGGGCGGAAGAAACCCCCATCGTTTACAGATCGTCTGTGGAATACAAAAGGGATCGCTCCGCGAGCCGGAGTCGCAGCCGCGGCCGCGGCCTCAGTCACAGCGGGTCAGGGAGCCCAGACGAGCTCGCAGAGGATGCCAGCACTTACTGGCGGCGACGGAGGTCCGGGATACATAGCATGGCCTCCTCGCGAGAAGGTAGCCCGCAAGAAAGCGATCGCCCGGATGGATCGGAAGACGGCCCATTTGATCGGGGAGTTAGTGAACGCTCCGTCGAACTCGATTCATCGCCAACTCCCACACCGCTGTCGCCATCGCCTCCGCCAAAACCAGAACGATTATACTACCGAGAAAAGTATGTGCTGAAAGGACACCAGCTGGGAGTGTCAACTGTCAAATTCTCTCCCGATGGATCTATGATTGCTAGTTGCTGTAAGGATAGAACTCGAATGAATTCTTCTATACTTTGTCTGTGGTCTAACATATTGGGAGCAGCTGCGGATGCTACAATAAAAATATGGGATACGGCTAGCGGACGACTCATCCATACATTCGAAGGACATTTGGCTGGCATTTCGACAATATCATGGAGCCCAGACGGAGCTATAATCGCATCAGGGTCTGACGATAAGTCTATTAGATTGTGGCATGTTTCAACTGTGAGCTTTCATCCCGGCTACGCTTTCTCACCGTGTATTCTTCATGTCCTGATTAATCTAAATTTCTGTAGGGAAAACCACATCCCAACCCTTTCCTCGGCCACCACAACTACATATACTCCGTCGCCTTCTCTCCAAAAGGAAACATGCTTGTCAGTGGATCGTATGACGAAGCCGTTTATCTATGGGACGTCCGATCCGCACGGGTAATGCGCTCACTCCCTGCCCACTCTGATCCTGTTGCTGGTGTCGATATTGTGCGCGATGGAACGCTTATTGTTTCATGTGCAAGTGATGGCCTCATTCGCATTTGGGACACTGGCACAGGGCAATGCCTCCGGACTCTCGTCCATGAAGACAATCCTCCCGTTTCAGCTGTGAAATTCTCGCCAAATGGCAAGTACGTGCTCGCATGGACGCATGACGACTGCGTTAGGTTGTGGGACTACGTTGAGGGACGATGTATCAAGACATACCAAGGCCATAAAAATAGGAAGTATAGTCTTTCAGGCGCTTTCGGGGTGTACGGTGCACTTGGTGGTGAGGTTATGGCTTTCGCAGCCAGCGGAAGCGAGGAATGGGGCGGTGCTTTGCTGGGACGTGGTTAGTAAGAAGGTGCTACAGAAGCTTGAGGGGCATTCTGATGTTGTTTTGGATGTTGATACGTACTGTTCTGGGGAGAGCCGGTTAATCGCAAGTTGCGGTTTGGACAGGACAATACGAGTTTGGGAGGAGGAACAGCCCCTTCTAGGGTCGAATCACCAGACTGGCACAAGGGACAAGCTGCCAGAACATGAGATACCAGAGGATGAGTTATCGGGTGTCGACGATACCATTGATGCACGTGTACAAGTTGAAGATGACCTCGACATGGATGTTGATGGTGATGCCATTCTGAGATGATGGGTTTTTGCTTCGAGTTATCTTCAATAATGATATTTTATGAAATCCTATCTGGCAAGATATAAGACTAGCCGCATATCGTCGATAAAGAGATTTTAGTTGCTGCACAGGCTAAGCTTCTGGCCATCCTCTCCGGCAATTCCTATGAGTTGGGTATATTTATTTGACTGAGACGATTGGCAGTGTGCGACCCGTCGATTTTAATTCGGGCATTTAGGTATTTGCATCATTATGCTATATCATAATACCACATTTTTCCCAAGCCCATGTATCCAAGCAACATAATTGGACAGAAAAGTACTCTGATTTCTAGCCATATTCCAGACACCTAGATGCTGTTGGCGAGGCTGTTTATTAGCCTATGTAAAAGATACATTTTTCCACCCTAGCGTTAATCAGCTCCAATTAGTAACATACATATCCCGAATACGTGGTTTAGCTTACAGTTTGACCATGGTTTTATAAAAGTCAATTTTGGACATGCTAGGGTGAGGTTAATAAGCACCTGAGAAACTTGATCCATGCCCAAGCACGATGAACTATACATGTTGTGAGGGGACAAGGTGAATGTTTTTCAAATCGCCCCAGCAGTGTAGAGGAGTCACAGCTTGTTTTAGAAGATGGTTACTGTTTTAGCTTACTATCAAATTTCCTGGTTACAAAGTTCTGATCGCCACATTTCATTTGCGGGTTTATGAGAGTATGATACTGTAGATACAATTTAACACTCTGCCACTCTCGATCGGAAAATGAAGAATGAATGGTCCCCAAAGCCAGAGATAATCCAGCAATAGACTGCAAAATGTAATACAGTTGCCCGAGACAAACCGAAAAGTTACGCCGCGGCCCACAACACTAAATTGCTAGAGTCCCGGATATTAGGTTTCAAGCTATATGTTAGATGGTGCTATAAACTTGGCCGACAGAAGACAATGAACCTCCCCGTGCAAGCGTATCAACGAAGAAATAGGCATAGCGCTCCACGCCAGCATTGTTATCTAACCAAGGGAGCACCTCTTTCAGGAATTGTACCTGCTGCCACTCATCCCCTTGCGCCCCAAATTCAGTAACCCAGACAGTGGCAATTCCATAATTCTTGGCAAGGGCAATTGCATTGGAAATGTAGCGTTTGAAGTCATCTACATTTCCAGCCGGACCGTGCCAATGGACAGCGAGGAAGTCAATCTTGCATTTTCCCCCGCAAATGTCGAGGAAGTTTTTCATCCAGCCAAGTCCTAACGGGGGGGCTCCATTGGAAACGGCCGGAGAGCCTAGGCGGGCCCTGCCTGAGTAGTGGTTCATGTACTTCAAATAAGCCTGCACGGCAACTTCAGGAGTCATATTGGCTTGCGAGAGTATATCAGGTTCGTTGAACGCAAGCAGGTTTTTGCTCCCGGAAGCAAGGGACGTTTCAGCATCCCCGTACCATGATCCGAAGCTCCTCGCCCCCCAAAGCATGGGCACAAATTCAATGGTCGAAGTGTCGCCCGAAGACCTGCCATTCCAATTATAGGACCAGGAAAAGGACTCTCCAATGCGGAGGAATATGGGGAGGAGGTCACCATTGTTGTAAGCAAGACCGCGTTTTCCCGAACCTGATCGCGCAGCAATGGTGTGACAGTCAGCTGAAGGCGCGCAGGAGGCAGCGCTAGCCAGCACGCTCGCGACAAGTAGGGATTGCAATGACACCATGACTTGAATTCGAATTAGAGCGGAGTTCAGGTTTAAATAATGGAACTTATTCTCGTGGTGGACGGAGAGTATCTTTGAGTACCTTAAGTGAGAAAGAGTTGATTCAAGGAAAACCTGCGGATTTTTCTTGAGAGGAAACTTGAGGTTAATGGTATAGTGTTAGACAGACATTAACGATGAAAATCGAGCGTATAACGCTGGTATTTATGCGCGCAACGCTGGCGCATAACTGGAAATCGTTATGCTATTTTTCCATTGAAGAGACGAAACTTCAAGCTAAGGATAGAATGACCCAGTTGCTAGAGACCAAAACTGGAATGATACGTAGACCTTTTAGTGTTATTAGCATATGGTAGCCAAGCATGTTAGTTGATGAAGGTACAGGTATCTTGACGAAGACATCAAGGAGGGCCTAGACCTGGCGACCCTGAACGTTTCCGGATGCTTTCAAGGGTCTGGGGGTGGGGGGGGAGGGGGGGGGGTTGGGCGATGTAAAGCTATGACTGGGCGTTCCTGAAAGTCTATCTAATGCTCGAACGAACATTGGGCAAAGCCTTGTATTTGAGGACTCCATTCGAACTCTGCTTATGATCCACCTTTCGAAATCTGGTAGCTCATAAACCTTGAAAAAGAATAGCTTGGGAAATCGAGATTAGAAAACTCGCAATGTCGCTATATTTGTGGGAGGCTCAAGTACCCGCTTGCGTCCAAACCGGGTATAGTGTTGAAACCTTATTCTATCGACCTTGTTCTTCCACGAGGCTAATCGTGCCAAGACGCCAGACCGTTTATCGACCGGTCCATCAAATCAAGACAGGGTTCGATATAGGCCTTGCTCCCAACATGGGTACCATGGGATAACCAGCAAGCCCCGACAACAGATAGAAGCTGGATTAAATGAGTTGTCGTAGGTAGGGCTGGTTGAGGGTCTTGAAAGTAGGCTCCTGTTTGATAGTGTAGGTGCTCTTGCATTGGAGACTTTTAGCAGGCTGAAGGGAATGGATCAAGGGTTTTTGTATATATGTACTCCGTGTATATACATATATGTGCCAAGTTAGGCACCCTCCCAGTGCAGGAAACTTGAACGCTTTTTTCGAGAGTATGTATAGCATCAATGGACGACTATGAAAATGAGGATCGGTTAAAATTAGTTATCCGTGGTTTAAAAAATTTTCCTGTGCAGAGGTGTATAGCAGGAACAGTACCATAATTCTCTGTTCAGAAAGCTGTTGGTGTCTTTCGCGGAACGAAACGATTCCCCGGCAAGGATGATTCCAAATTTTTCAATAATAACCAGGCGTTTCGCTTGATACGCACATGCCGAGCAGTGCTGAAGATTTGCTGGAATTATAAAAAGGTCACAGCAGCGTCCACACAATTGAGTACGAGATAGCACCATGTTTTCAACCATCACTCTTGGGTTATGATCCTTATTTCTCACCTTGGCGTCTCCCTTCGAGCACCTTCATCACAGCGTTTACACTATCCTTGTCGCCTTTCTTCTTTTTAGGGCCTCGCTTCCTTTTAGTCCCCCTGCCGCGGCCCTCCGCTTCCCAGCCCGCCTCCTCATCATCTTCGTCTCCAAATCTACTTCCACCAAACCCAAGATCCAGATCCATTGCGTCTTCTCTTTCTTGTCTCTTGGCCTCTTCAAGAAACCTTTTGCGTTTGAGAGTCGCCTCTTGATCTAGGCCAGCGCCATCATCGAGGTCGACCGGAGATGTCTGCCTAGTCGCTGCAGCGCGTTTTAGTGCCGCAAGTATGGCTGGGTCACTGGAAATCGAAGAAGGCTTGTTCACGGTTTCTCGATCTTCTCTGGTACTGGAGGACGTAGCAAAGTAATCCCGGACTTTCGCTGGCTGAGGGAGGGGTTGTTCCTGCTGCGCATGGCCATCATTGACTATATCCACACGAGGTAGTGAGGCGTTCCCTTTCATTTCATTATCTGATTCGTCGGAAGATGAAGATCCATGATCATCCTCATCCTCCATGTCGGCAAGCGGATTATAGTCCCTCCCAACGCCCTGGAAAATATCATCGTCTTCTTCCTCCATTGTCGCGGCTGCATTCGCTCGCGACAGAACTTCAGCAGGGACATCCATACCTAGTGGCTTTGCATGTTTGTCGACTGGTAAAAGCCCAGAGTCCTCACTTCTCTGTGCTTGATGGTCTGGGTTTATCAAGCCATCGGAACTTTCCTCTTT